AACTCCTACATCAACAACAACTGATCAAACGAGACCAGCACAAAGCGATAAAAGTAGAAAGAAAAAGATGTCAGACGATGAAATATTAGAAAAATTGAGAACAATCGTAAGCGTAGGTGATCCAAATAGAAAATATACAAAAATGGAAAAGATAGGACAAGGGTAAGTTATAACATAAAATGTATGTTAAACAATCATCTTAGCATGTTTAAACATTTTTAATGTTTGTTTTTTAGTGCTTCAGGAACAGTGTACACAGCGATCGAGACATCAACAGGGATGGAAGTTGCAATAAAACAAATGAATCTTTCACAACAACCAAAGAAGGAGTTGATAATAAACGAAATATTGGTTATGCGGGAGAACAAACATCCAAATGTTGTTAATTACTTGGATAGTTACCTTGTAGGAGAAGAATTATGGGTAGTTATGGAATATTTACCTGGTGGTAGTTTGACAGATGTTGTAACTGAGACTTGTATGGATGAGGGTCAAATAGCAGCAGTGTGTAGAGAAGTCTTACAAGCTTTGGAGTTCCTTCATTGTAATCAAGTTATACACAGGGATATTAAGTCTGATAATATCCTGCTTGGATTAGACGGCGGAGTAAAGCTAACAGATTTTGGATTTTGTGCACAAATTTCACCAGAGCAAAGCAAACGAACCACAATGGTTGGCACACCATATTGGATGGCACCAGAAGTAGTTACAAGAAAACAATATGGTCCAAAGGTAAAAATAATATGATCCAAATATTTGTTGAAATAAGTGTAAATGAAAAATAGTACATTTCAAGATTTATAAAAAACATTTGAATTTATAGGTTGATATCTGGTCATTGGGCATAATGGCTATTGAAATGATAGAAGGAGAACCACCATATTTAAATGAAAATCCATTAAGAGCATTATATTTGATTGCCACAAATGGAAAGCCTGAAATCAAAGAAAAAGATAAGTTATCTGGAATTTTTCAAGATTTCTTAGATCAGTGTTTAGAAGTTGAAGTGGAAAAACGATCAGCGGCTTCAGAATTACTCAAGGTAATTCTAATAATATATGTATAGTATATAAAAATCTAAAACATGTTTAATATATGTCAGGTTTTGATAACGTAAATTAAATAAACGTATATCTTTATGGTAAATTGCAGCATCCTTTCCTGAAACTAGCAAGGCCACTTGCTTCCCTAACACCCTTAATAATGGCAGCAAAGGAAGCTGCTAAAGGTAATTAGAAGAGTGGTACTTGTGGTCATGCGATATGATCACAATATAATTTTGCAAGAAAATAATGAATCACCCTCCCAAAACGGAACGGC